ACACAAATCACACACATACACAAATCACACACAATCACACACACAATCACACAATCACACAATCACACAATCACACAATCACACAATCACACACACAATCACACACACAAATCACACACAAATCACACACACAAATCACACACACAAAGCACACACAAATCACACACACCCACACACAAATCACACAAACAAATCACACACACACACACAAATCACACACACAAATCTCACACACACAAATCACACACACACAATCACACAATCACACAATCACACACGCAACCACACAATCACACAATCACACACACAATCACACACACACAATGACACACACACAATCACACACAATCACACACACACAATCACACACACAATCACACACACAATCACACACAATCACACGCAATCACACGCAATCACACACAATCACACACACAATCACACACAAAGTCACACACACGCAATCACACACACAATCTCTCACACACAATCACACACAATTATCACACAATATCACACACAATACCACACACCCTATCACACACAATATCACGCACAATATCACACAATATCACGCACAATATCACACACAATCACACACAATCAGACACACAATCACACACACACAACCACACACACAATCACACACAACCACACACACAATCACACACGCAAGCACACACGCAACTACACACACAATCACACACACAATCACACACAAATCACACACAATCACACACATAATCACACAATCACACACACAATCACACGCACAATCACCCACAATCACACACAATCACACACAATCACACACAATCACAAACACACACACAATCATACGCACACACACAATCAATCACACAATCACACACACAATCACACACAATCACACAGTCACACACGCAATCACACGCAATCACACACACATTCACACGCACACAATCACACACAACCACACACACAATCACACACAATCGCACACACAATCACACACAATCACACACACAATGACACACAATCACACACAATCACACACAAGCACACACAAGCACACACACAATCACCCACAATCACACACAATCACACACACAATCACACACAATCACAAACAATCACACACAATCACACACAATCGCACACAACCACACGCAATCACACACAATCACACACAACCACACACACAATCACACACACAATCACACACAATCACACACAACCACACACAACCACGCGCAACCACACACTCACACACACAATCACACAATCACACACAATCAAACACAATCACATACAATCACACACAATCACACACAACCACACACAATCGCACACAATCACACACAATCTCACAAATCTCACACACAATCTCCCACACAATCACACACACACAATCACACACACAATCACACACACAATCACACACACAATCACACACAACCACACACACAACCACACACACGATCAGAACCACACACAATCACACGCACACACACAATCACACACGCACACATAATCACGCACACACCATCACACACACAATCACACACACAATCACACCCCTTGAGTTATTCTGGTAATCCTTCGTTGTTGCTCGCTTACATAGCTCAGTTGCTCAGCTTTTGTTGTTCTGTTGATTAGCTGCTGCCGCTGTTGCTGCTGCTGCTGCTGCGGCTGTTTGTTGATATGATGAACATGTTGTTGCAATGATGATGATGTCGGCGGCGGTGTTTGCGGCTGCGCTTCTCATTGTTGTCTTGGTTGTGGTCGTTGTTGTGGTGTCATTGCTGGTGGTTGTGTGGGTGGTGGTTGTGCTCGTCGTTGTTGCCGTTTGACAATGCTGCCGGGCTTTGTGGAGTCGGATTGCTGTTTACCTGAGTGCCAAGATAGTTTTTAGCGCCGACTGAGATACTTTCTGTTCAAAGCAGTCATAGTCATGAGGTCGAAATTCTACCAAACCACGTGTGAGATTGCACGTGAAATCCGACCACAAGGTACTGCTTCTTAAGTCGACTGTGCGGTTGCGTATCCGAACCGACGAAGCAACGGGGAAGCCGCGCGGACCCCCAGCCACACAGCCGCGCACCACGCAGCCACGTTGCTTTGGCTTCGCGCGCGAGGGCATCAATGCGTCGAGGCGTCACAGCCTCAGGGTGTCGATAGCTTCATCGATAGCTTCGCGCCTTGAACAAAAGTAATCACACCTCACATGAAAGCGTACATTACACTGCGTGAATAATGTTGACCCAGGATTGATAAACCCGTCTGATTAGGGGGTTGTTCCCTCCAAAAGTGGTTTGAATCTTCACGAAAAGGGGACACCCCCGAATCATAATCCGGGGTTAACACTAAAGAGGTCGCGCTTTGCTGGAGGATGGCTTGCTCTTCAGCTTTCATGCCTGCCATGAGCCACAGGCAACCACAGGACACTTAATTAGGCCAGGGAACGGTTGGAATCGTTGCGCTGCTGTGTGGTCGGAGCACAGCAACAAAAAGCCTCTGCGGCTCGGTGGATTGTCCGTGATATGAATGTGGTGCCCGCATTCTAATCCGCGCAGATCATATCATTATCGGTACTTCGAGACCCTTTCCTTCTTGCGTGTGATACTTGACCAGAAAGAAACTACGGTATCAGCTGGGAAAGTATTGAGCAGGATAGGTCTGACTCTGATCAGAAGATCCTTCGGGGTGGTTTCTGTTTGCCCCGACATGTACAACTCAAGGGGTGCCCTTTTTGAGGAACATGACACCTGCTTATAATGAAGGTGCAAGTATTGTAGACTGAAGAATTGGACACAGGTGCAGATTCCTGTAACATGTCAGGGGGTCATCACATGTGTGCTGGTCTTATTGATTGAAATGGATTGTATGTGCTCCCTGCATCTTGTAGACTTGACAAACTGAGGATTGCTTCGTGCTTCCGGTCTTGGTTCCGGCTGTTATTTTCCCGGTTTGCCAAATGGTACTGGTGGCTTGCTATGTTTTACATGTTGAGGCACATGTTTATGCGACCAAGACAAGCTGGGATTGCCCGCTCGCGACGAAGAAGGGGTGACTTGACTGAGGTACGGCACCTGCAAGTGCCTGGCGGGAACTTGCAGTGCCGACGGCAAGAGCTGCAGCCTGTGAGGGGCCTTCAGCGCGATGTCCTGCGAGCTGTGCCAGGACAGAACCGGTGCATGTACTTGGCCCATGCGTAGTGTTCAAGGCACGTGCAGCGCCAACAGGGGCTGCTACTTTGTTTATGTCAACATTGGCAACCAAGAAGCAACCGCATCAACTCAGATGAGCAACGATGTGGATTGGGATGTGTTGATATGTGATCATCATGCTGGTCACTGAGGAGTGTAGTGTGAACAGAAGTGATATGTTGCGGCTGAAGCAGCTCTTGAGAAGAGGTAGCAAGCATTTTTGGGTTATGTGGCCAGGTGCATTACATGTCCTTCTTTGCTGGCGATAGTCATTTGCAGCTGCAGCTGACGCTGTGTCGTTTCCAGACAAGGATGCAGCAGGATTCAAGCTATTTGATGCACTTTATGTCTCCAAGGCAATGCAGTGATGGCCACAGTCATCGAATGTGCTTGTGCTTACTTTTTGTTTTCTCAGCAACTTGAACGAAGTCATACTTATGCAGACTTATGCATGATTGTTGATACCCACATTTCTTGACAACATTCTGACCTTTGTGCATCACGAATTTTGTGACGCTATTTGCTGCTAATGCAAGAACTTCATGGTGCACTCCTTCATTGTTGTGTGACAGACCCTTCACAGGACGCCTTTGGCCACTGCTGATATGCGTGCATACGACTCAACAAGCCCGTCTGGGGTAGGGGGTTGATAGCTTCCTGATTCTTGTGGGCCGCAAAGGTTGTTGAAGAGTCGCGCGGAAAGCAACACCTGCCCTGACAGACCAGTGGAACCTGCAACGAATCCCATGCATAGGCACTGTACGAAAATACGTTGTATGGTGAGTAGCCTCTCTATAACATGTTTCCAGTTTTCCATTTATATAGTAGTCTGCTGCGGCTAGAACCTTGGAATTGTCCAGCCCTACCCAAATCACTGGTTGCGGCTGCATGCGTGGTTTTGGGTGGCACACTCACAAGGCGGCCCGATGCCGCGGCCAACAGAGCCACGGTGGATTTCCGTGGCAAGAGCACGTGACAAAATGAAGCATGTGTGGCTTGGCAGTGTCAGCAAGGCAACGCTAACGCAAAGCTTTGATACGACAGTGAGAAGACAACCTGATGGGAAGTGAGAGGCTGGACGCGTGGGCAAATCGGCGACGCGGTACTATCGGAATGGATCAGTCCCGGGCTTGCCATGTGTCGATACATGCACCCGATGTTCAGGGTTGCAGAGTAGCAAGGCTAGTTGGTGGATGTGGTTTGGCATGGTACGATATTCACGAACGGTCCAGCTGTCAGCCCCGAATCCCCCGTGGTATCCCTGTCCTACATACATCTGGGGACGTGACGTAAGGATTGCGAACTTGACCACTAATGAAGCCTGAAGCCAACAGAATGCAATACGTGTATATATATATATAATACATAATATGTAAAAACAAAATGTTTGTATTTGTATACTTATACACATCAACCCTGCACCGGCCCTCCGCCAAACCAAATCGCCAATCTAATTAGATCAGCCCGAAACCATGCCCAAATTAGCCCTGAATCGATCCTGAACCAACCTGAGACCAGTCCAAACCACCCCACCGGGACGGAGTCTGGACCATGCAACGAACATGTATTTGCGCTGAAGCTTTAGTTTTGTTGCTTGCGGATATTTGAGCTCAGCTTGCCGCAGATAGAAACATCCTTGTTTTCCTCCATGGGCTGAGGTAATAAAGAGGAGCGATTGACCGCTCTGCAGACAACTTTGCTTGAGATTTGAAGGTTGGCCTCTTTGCTTTCAAGCCATGTCGAGCGAGCGAATCCTTCGATTCAGTTGGATTTGAAGCCCCCGATGTTAGGATACGGCACACTGCGCGTTTGAAGAACTTGGACACAGATGAGCATTGGCGAGACATCGGAAAGGGTGTATCATACAAGGGAATGTGCCGGAACCGAAGATGTGTCGCGGACCCGTGCAAAAGAGTTTGGACGGCACCGCGGAGAGACAGTTTGCAATATGGGCTTTGGGAAGAGACGGCCAAATGAGGACAAATGCTATGATGAAATCCTTTGCCCAGCTTGCCACCAGCCATTTCAACCAACTCTTTTCTACTTCAGGTGATGCTCGGCCAAAATCAATTATTGTTTTGCGGGCCAGAAAACCACCGTGTCGGAGGACGATGAGAATAAAGCACGCGTTTTTGGCCAATGGGGCGTCGCTCTGACTTGCCAGATGCTTGTGATTGAAGTCGAGCAGCCCGGAGTCTTTGCAGCTGATGAGCTAGACCTTGGACATTCCTGACGTTGGGCTTGCAAAGGAGCTCGGCCAAGCACGTCCACTCTGGCTCGATTCTTGGGCAAGTGGGGCACGCGCTCCGGGATAGCATCTCCAGCAGGTTTCAGTGCGGCCGCGCTACCCCACGCTACGAGTTTTCCAGTGGAACGGAAAGTGGCAGAAGACAATCGTCGTCTATGGGCGTTTTCCAAAAAGCAGTGTCAGTGCCAGTGGTTATAGTGGACATCGACTCAGTGGACGCAAGAAAGTTCACGACCGTGAACAAAGGTACCAGCATCAGCGTGCAGGGGCAAGGTTGATCTTTGACTGCTTCTAGCATGCCAACATTGGGTAAGACCTGGGAGGAGCATGTCTCAATGCATGTCCAGATGTTTGCTTTGGCATCTGCCCTTGGTTGGCGGACAAATGCTGGCGCGATTCACGGCAACAACATGAGTATGACTCAGGAGCGCCCCAGCTTTGCTGCTGTTTTATCAAAGTACAGAAGATACGTTCCTGTCAGCGCGAGGGTCGCAAATGAGGCATGATGCCACTGCCCTTGTGTTTTATACTTCCATTCTGGCTGCTGGCTTCAGGCTTGTTTTCCTGCGATAAAACTTGTCAAGCGTCAGTTCAGCTTTCTGGAAAGGGACACCAATATGCAAAAAACAACACAGATGCATAGCGCACAAACGCAAGGGCAGGTGCTGCGACTTTCCGTGCCTCGCGCTCGCTCGCTCGCTGTGTTTGTCAGATGTTGAATCATTCTGATGAAGCAGCTTTCAGGTGCCGACCGACGCGCGGTATGATAATGATGGGTGCCGGGAGATGGAGACCTGTGGCACACAAATGTTCATGGCAGGAATCATAGACCGTGTCCTGCTGACGGACGGCGTATGAAATCCATGATTGATCCTCCTGCAACAGTGTTGCAGTGATGCAACAGCACAGGTTCATCAGTCAGATCTGTTGTTGTTCGTGGGAAGGAGAAAAGTCGGGCGAGGTCTGGTTTTGTGTTCCCCCTGGTTTCGTCAAACATGTCATGAAGACGTCCGGCTGAAATGAGCTTGGGCCAATCGAATCTTTGAAGGGGACCGTCTTGCGAGCGATGCGCTTGGGGCTCGGGAGGTGTGACGTCCTGCGCTCTGTGGCTCTCAGCCTTGCAGCATGGGGCTGCCATGGCGCGGTTCGGCCACCAGTGGCGCAGAAAGCAGGCCTGGACGCTCAAACTACCCATAAAAATGGGATATCACCCCATAATTTTGGGGGTCAAACCCATTTTTAAGGGAATTTTGAGGGTTCAGGGGCGCGGAGTTGGGCGCCAAGCAGCGGGGCGAGATGTGACGAAGTACATGGGCATGTCTACTAGGTCCTCCAGTAGTGCCCTTTTACCTCTTTTTTTTTGGGGGGGGGCCCTTACTAAAATGGACTACAGAAAAAAGGGTAGCCTTATTCTAACCTCTCTATTGGAGGACCTAGTCTAGTCGAGCCCAAGCCGGACTTCTCAACGATGGCCAAGCAGATTTGCTAGACCAGACCTGCCCAGCTTTCAAGATCCCTTTGTGTTGCTCGTGTCACGTGATTGGCTAGAAGCTTCATGTTGGCAAAATGTCCACTCGGCAATCTTCTGCATGGAGGTTCATGACACGTGTACACACTCGTTGACAAGGAATGATGCGAGTGCTTCATACAGCTCAGCTGGCTCGAATTGCCGCATGCAAATGCAAAAAAAGCCCCGCCACCTGTGTGCGCTGAAGACTCCAGGTGGTGCTGCCACGAGAACAGATCCTGGGCAACGTGCAGCTCAGTGACCGCCTGGCCAAGTTGGCAAGAGAGCAGGTGCAGAGCAGGGAGAAGGAGGCAGGGAAGTGGTAGGGGCCTCACAATTTAAGGGGCTTGCAGATATTTGAGATGCTGTTGACAGATGACATGCTTTAAGAAAACTTGTTCAGTTAAGGCTGGATGCCAGGGCTGCCGAGGCAGCCTGAAACAGCTGGATAAAGTGAGATTGTTGGAATGTGTTGCCCACAAAATGGAGCGGTCAGAGGTCGTACAATCATTATTTTTGACTTCACATGCATGCAAAGTACGTTCATCACAGCGGCC